GTCGAATCAGATAAGGTGGCTTGTCCATGCCTTATGTTCGACATATGATATCGCGATACAAAAGGATCATCAGCCGGAATCATCACTGGTGTTCGTAAGATCATGAACAAACTCTATTCGAGATAGGTAGTCATAGTATCTTGCTAGAGACTGCCTATGACTTGTATATCTGAAATAGAGATTTCGGATTATACTGCTATATCGAATGAACCTACAGGTGTTGGTTTAGTGCTCTATGATGTACTGTTTACGAGCTTTACTTTGATACATTTGATGTACTGACGCTTTCTATGATTTATAGATGAGTGTTTGATTCATTACGTATTGTGCATACTTGATATGTTATGAAATCCATGTATTGTTATGAACAATACTAAACTCCCTAGTCATGTATCATTGTGGAAATAATGATATACTAAGATTAGTATGATGTGTGATTGATGATCATATAGATTATCATAGGTATTGGATACGATCACGATCGTAGGTATTCTTTGGAGAACGGAATACTGGATTGACCCGCATGAGATTATCACATAGACTTGCGTCATGACTTGAATCTCATATGACGGTTCCATGATTAGATCCTAAGACCTGAGATATCTACGAAATCCAACATGAGGAGTTGCGTACTTTGAATACGTCAAACGTCCTGCGTAACAGGAGGACTATAAAGGCGTGTATCAGGTACGAAACGAATCATGTGCTGGATTGTAGATAGTCAAGACGGGATTTGTACCTCTCGTAAAAGAGAGAGATATCGCTGGGTCCCTCGTGTGAGCGAGACTGTAGAAATGTGTGGCCGCACTATAGATGAACGTCGTCTATTTCAGACAGTCGAACTCAGTGAACGAGAAAGAAGTTGAATCAGATAAGGTGGCTTGTCCATGCCTTATGTTCGACGTATGATATCGCGATACAAAAGGATCATCAACCGGAATCATCACTGGCGTTCGTATGATCACGAACAAATTCTATTCGAGATAGGTAGTCATAGTGTCTTGCTAGAGACCGCCTATGACTTGTGTAACCGAAATAAGAGATTTCGGGTTATACTGCTATATCGGATGAGCCTACAGGGTCACACACACAGGAAAGGACGAATGCGCGAGAAGAGACGAGAAAATCCCGGTGGAGCGGAGGCCAGACCGACCGGTCCAGAAGGTCTTGACTGATCGGTCCAACCAACTCAGACCGATCGGTCCAACCAACTCAGACCGATCGGTCCAGACACGTGGACCGGTCGGTCCAGAGGTAACGTGCAAATGTTGCTCGGTCCGGAAAATATTCCAGACCGATCGGTCCACACGTTAAAAGCTCCAGACCGATCGGTCCAAACCTAGACCGATCGGTCCAGACGTCGGGATTTCCTAAACTCGCTCTAATTAGGGTTTTAAGTGGGAAAAACTTTAGGGAACGCCTCCTAAGCCTCTTGGCACGACTTTCAGACCCTTTGGGGAGTTTTTGAGAGTTGAAAACCTAAGAGCTAGATCCCTGAAACCCTTGCGCAAAGAAGAAGGTGTTCTTCAGTCCTAGCAGACAAGTTCCAACCGTTGGAATCCTTTCCGCCGTGTGGATACGTGTAGAGGGCGAGGTATTCTTTCTGCCTTATGTGATCGGACGAACACATCAATTGATACAGGCCTCGGATCGATTGAGGTAACCGTTCTAACGTTTCTACAAGATCATGCATGATAGGTTTTAGGGTTTCATCAAAATTTTTGTTTTACATTCGCTGCGTAAACCCAATAACCGATCTCTTAGGAATTAGATTCGCTCTTGAGATCCCAGAAAACCTAACAGTGGTATCAAAGCCTGGTTTTCTGTATGATTTTGTTAGAACCCGATCAAGCACGTTATAGGATTTGAATTGTTTGAATCCGTGTTTGCTTTGATGCTATGCATGATTTGATTGTGGATCTAGAGTATATTTTCTATTCATTGTTGCATAGTGTGCAAGACCTTCGAATTCTGAGTTCGCAGGCGAAAACTGGGTCGAATTCGGGTCTGAAACGGAGCAGAAACGACGAAAACGACATCTGATCACGTTTTCGTCTAGACCGATCGGTCTGGTTCTCTGGACCGATCGGTCTAGGGTTTCGCGGGTTGGTTGGACCGACAGGTCTGGACTGAACGGTCCACACATTTAGACCGATCGGTCTGGACCAAGACCGACCGGTCTGGACGGACAGACCAAAAGGTCTGGACCGTTCTAAACTGTGTAGACCGAATTGCGTAGACCGACCGGTCCAGGCTCTGGACCGATCAGTCCACGTCCCGAGGCTCCACCAAAATTTTGGTTATAATCTTAGATACATGTACGAAACGTATACGGAGAGACGTACGTCAAAGAAAAACACACGTGTTACTGTAAATTGACCAGAAATAACGGTACTCAATATTATTTATACTCATTTTAAAAATAATTTCTTAAACTGATTTGAGATTTTAAGTTCACATCCTATACATACATGCATATACAATATATTAAGGTTTTAATTTTCTTACCTTTTCAGACATAAATCACCAACCCGTAATAATAAATATGGAGTTATAATGTATTCGAAAAACTCACATAAAACACATTTACTACGAAATGGTTCAGATTCAGAGAATCAACCAACATTTTCTACTGTTACTAAATTCTGTAAACTAAAAGGCCCCCCCCCCCCCCTCCGAATATTAATTAATTCATTATTTGTTGTGCATATGGTTTTAAAATCCAGTATCAACTATTGAAACATGATAAGGTCATTTAACTCGTTGGTAAAAAGACTAAAAGGCAATGAATGTCGTTGGGTGAATTGGGTCATGATCTTCACCTTGTAACGTCTCTCTCTCTCTCTCTCCCTCTACGTTAATGTGTGAGAGCCATTGTCATGTCATCAAATTCTCTAACCACTACTTAACACAAGACGAAAGTGAACAAAATAACACCGAGAGAGGCATTGGTATATATTGCACCGAGAGAGGGAGAGAGGTTTCTTTTGTTACAAAACCGAAGCGAAGATACACAACACACAAGTAGATGTGCAGCATGTTGATGTTCATAGGGGTCAGGGCCGTCTATTAAGGTGTGCAATAGGTGCGATGGAACAGGGCCCCAAAATTTGGGGGCCCCACTTTTTTTTTTTTTTGTAAATTCCACCTAATTTTAAAAATATTAATAATATATATTATTAAATGTAGTTATAACAAAAAGTAACAATTCTCTTCGTTATCTATTTTTAATTAAATAGTCTCACTTAATTTTAACTTAGTTAATTTATATATTTTGTTATATTAAATATGTTTTTATCGTTTTTAAATATTTTTATTTTTTATTATATTAATTAATAATTTTTTATTATTTTAAAATTTTAATATGTACAGGGCCTCCAAATTTTGTGAGACGGCCCTGATAGGGGTGGTGCTGATGCTTCTGATACTTCTTCCGGCGATTCTGCCGCCGCTGCCGCCGCCGCCGATGGCAGTGATGGGAGTTCCGCTGGTGCTTCTGATCTTGCTTGCCAACTTAGTCTTTTACCGTCCCGAGAGGCATGGACCTCTCTCTTCTTCTCTTCCTCCCTTTGACCCCGTAGTCTTTGGCTAACCAAGGTTTCAGATATGCATCTTCATCCACAGAGAGAGAGAGAGAGAGAGAGAGAGAGACGTCTGATCACGAAAGGCAGGAGAGAGAGAGGGATAGAGAGAGAGAGAGAGAGAGAGAGAGAGAGAGAGAGAGTCCATGTTTTGTTGAGGTTGCTGTTAGTTAAGATCTTACCGAAGGTTGTGTATAGTAATGGGTTTTGGTTTCATCTTGTTTCCTTTTTGTGAATCAAAGCGATTTCCATATATAGCATAGAAGTGTCGGATGGGAGTTTTGTTTACGATGTTCCATTTCTTTGTTTCTTTTTGTTCCTGTTAGATCGTAATTATGTAGACATATTTGTATAATAATACTTGCCTTTAAAATGGTTTTTCCTTGCGTTTTTTTTTCCGTGCATGGAGCATTTTCATATGAATCATGCATGTTGTGCAATACATCAATATATAAATTCCAAACAAAACCTGTTACATGAATTATATGATCACAATATAATAGATTCAGACTAAATATATGATACAAGTTATATATCTGAGATTAGTCGAGTGGCTGAATCCCATTTTCGCATACAATTCAAGTTCCCATCGGAAACATCTGTCGGAGAACATTTTTTTTATGGTCAACCATGATTGTCGGTTAAGTATATATACACACACACACGAAATCTTGAGATAATTGATATTAGAAATTGAGATTGGTCAGATGAATATTCGTCTAGACCAAGCTATAACAAAATACCTAGATGTTTTTTTTTTCTTTTTGGACATCAAAATTCAATTCTATATAGATATACAGATAAATTCATAATCATCGATCCATTCCCCAAAAAAAAAAAACGCCGTTTTATAAGTGACGTACGTCTTTTTTTTTCCTAGCATTAATTAGGATAACATTCATCTTCGTTAAATGTTTTTTTATGCAAATAAAAAAAATCAGAAAATCCAAGCGAACAATAAATTAAAAATAAAAGAACCGGAGAGGCCGTGTGAATACACGGAACGTGGTGGAAGGTTTCCGAAGAGTAATTCCTGTACCGACCGTAATCGGCCGGCGACATGTGAGTATCCG